TGGGTGAGCGTGGCCTGGGCCGGGATTTCTTGCCGCCGGTTCTGCTAGAGAGTCAGCCTGGCCCATGATATACATGGGTCCGGCCAGGTGAAGCTCGCCCCACACCGGATCGGGCTGGACTTGCCTCATGAGTTTTTTATTTTATTTTATTTTTAAATTAACGGTTCCTCCAGTTGGAGTGATACAAAGCAGGCCTGCGGGACCGTTCGTCTCGCAGACTGGCAGATATTCCCAGCAAGGGAACCCCTTTAAGGCCTGCAGCAGCAGCGAGTTACGTCTCGCAGCTGGCCACCCTGGCCCATTGTTCATATAGCCCATTGGCTATGGCTTTAGTTATGAGTATCTAAAGAAAATGACAAATTTATGAGCCGGGTTGGGCTCGAAAATATCTTTTGTGGGCCCAGTAAAGCCCAAGCCTGTGCCTCGGGACCTAGTCCCTAGCCCAGGTCGGATGGGGCTAGAGTGAGACCCAAGCCAGATTAGGCCCCAACCCACCACTATGGCCTGGGTCTGTACGGCCCGAGCTAGGCTGGACCTGGTCAGCCCACGCCCTACCTGAGAATCAACTTGGGTGTATACATTGGTGCTCCGAAGTTTACCATTTTTTCTTCACTTCGAGGCTGCCAAATATTTTATTTTTTAACACTTCAATATTCCAATGTTTCCAGCTCCCTTGTCCAGTGGCATCAAGAAAATTCTGGGTTATTATGTTGAAATTGCACGAGCCTTTTGATGTTGCAATAGCGTCCAACCAAACAAGCTTTTTAAAATCTGGGGGTTCCAAAAACGTCTAATCAAACATACCTTTCAGGCTACTCCACACTAGTCCTTCGAATCTTTAAAATTGCTTATAAGTCCCTCAAATCTAACCAGCCTTTGCAACTTGATCGATCAATGACCGAAATACCCTCCATCTTTCTTCTCGAAAACTAAACCCCAAAACCCAATATTTGCTAAAGCCTCTCCTCGCCCTGCTTCCTCGACGCCAGCCTCCTTCCTATACTCTTTTACTCATTAGAAATTAATTCAGAAACGACATCGATTCTTTATCTTCCCTAAAAAAAGGATAGCCTCTTTCGATAATCTCTTTTTTTTTAATTAAAGAAAGCTCATGATTGAGCTCTTATCATCAAATTATTTGATCTTAACATGTCCATCGATTGTGTCGTGCTCCCATAATTTCTTCTGCAGGTGAATTGAAATCCAAACACTGCGCTAACATCCTTAATTATTATTGTATAGACTGCATCGCGCATCGCCTGCCTTTTTTTTTTATAGTCTTATTCCTCATTAGTTTGTACAAACTCATATTGAATTCAATCTTCGAAAGAGACGGAATGACCGGATTAGTTGCTTTAGAGCTTTGATCGTGGCTCTTCCCTTGTCCGTCTCGATAAAGTGTTGCAGAGCGAGAAGATCTTTCCCAGCTCTTGGACTGACATGTAATTAGTGAAGATTTGAGGGGCTAGTTCAAAATAAACCAAAAATAAATTCCTGGTAGGTTGTCGAACAAGTCGGCAAGGATATAACTACTCTAAATGTCGAGCAAATTTCTCGTGAAGGCGACATTTAGGTCTTGACAATTTAATTAGTTCACCGGGTCGTATCTTCAAAGTCCCTCGCTCGTGCGAGCACGTGAATCTTAAAAAAAAAATTTTAAAACTCGGAAACTATTCTTACGTTTGACTATGAGGTTGGCCAAGTTATTGTAGGTATTTATTCATTCATGACTCTAGTGCTTTCAACCACTGACGGAATCCTCGTTCAACGATAAACTCTCGTACTTTCAACTTTTGGGAATCTGCATTCGACTCTTAAATTGTGATTTTTCTGTTATTAGTTAAAATAATGTTCAAAACTCATGGCCATTGTCTATGGATCTATATCAAAAGAATATACAAACATTTGAGATTCCCAAAATGAACTTTCCAAATTAATAAGATATTTCCCCCCTTTTGAAGATTTGTACAATTTGAGGATGTCAATGGATCTTCTTTTTCCTTTTTTTTTTCTTTTTTTTAATGAGGGAACTTCCCTATGATTTTCGAGACTACGAATACCAAACCTCCTGGCATGGCTAAGAGGCATCCCCAACACATGGTCTCGGGTGTTCTAAGAAATTAGAATCCTGTGGGTGCTCCTCGAGATAGTTGAACATGAGACTTTTGAGTACTACTTATATGTAGTTAATCAACTCAGTTAGACCTTAGGTGATGTCAATGTATCTTGTTTAAGAGTTTTTTTAGCTCTTTGAGAAGGGTAAAAATCTATTTGTCAAGATTCTTAATTAGACGTAGGGGTATGCATTAATCGATTCAAACTGTAAACCGACCAAATTTCAATGGTTCGGTTCGTGTTTTAGAATATGTGCCAGCCAGTTCAGTTTTGTTGATGTCAGATGTTTAACAATAGAGTTTTGTGTGAGTTATAGAGAGTTTAGGCTGCCTCAATCTTCTTTCATGGTTGATCACTGAACAGAGGGTTCGATCTTGCATACAGACAATACATAAGAGGATCGGAGTTGGGTTCTCTGGTGGTTCATCCAACAATCAAGTCAGTATTGATCTCAGGTGAAGGAATGAAAGTGTGATTACTGTATATATGCTGTAGTGGGAAAATTACGTAACTTCATGCAGTAGGCAATGTGCCTATTTATAGCAGGTTCAGAAACGTAGTTGTGCAATTTCAACCGAGTCTAAGCAGTCGGAATATTCAACTAATAGTTTACAGGTTGTCGGCAGTGGGTAGTCTGAGTCCGCTTTGCGATTAATGCGACGGTGATAGGAGAGTTGAGGTGTTGACGTAGTCCGATGAGTCATTAAGACTTTTGGTAGTGGTGTAATGATGATTCCAACCGTGCATTTAATGCGATGGTGATTGGATGTCGTTGATGAGTTCAAGAAAGACCACCTTTTGTATCGACTTTTCAAGGGAGGTCAAGAAAAAGACCTTTCAACTTGGCCGTTCTGAACGAGGCCGCTTCTCGACTCGGTCAGTTCAGTGATAATGCATTAAGCTAGTTTTAGCAGCAGAGCCCGAGTGAGGACGCCTTTCGACTCAGCACTCATGAGATCGGTACGAGTTGGTGTACATTTAATTTGAGACACGTGTCATCTCCTAGAATAAGATTAACACTTAGTCATTTCTACGATACAATATGTTCAATAATATTAACATGAACTATCCAAACAAACTACTTTCTTGATTGTTGAGAACGTACTCTTTCTTTTTATTAATCCACGAATTTCCTTCTCTTTTCTCCTTAATTTTTTAATATGTGTCTTTTTTTTTTGGATCACAAGAGCCCTTTTTTCTGATTAAATGAGTCCCATCAAAAATTGAATAAACTAAACTGAATTGACCAAACTAATTCTGGTCAATTAAATTTGACTTTGAATATAAAATGATTCGGTTCAGTTTTGTAAAAAGTACTCGAAACTGATCAAACTGACCATTTGCTCACCCTGTATTGGACATTTTGTATGCAGTAGACGTGTAGATAAGTTTAATAGGTTATCTTTCAATATTAATGGATTGATAATATGTTTAATTGATAAAATGTTATCTACTCCTCTATACAAATGGGAGAGTTCAAGATTCACTATTCATACTACAGTAAATTTTAATACAGTAATATTACTGTAGCACATGGGATACTGTAGCATTTTAAAAGAAAAAATTATTGTGCCATAGGCGGGAACTGTAGCATTCTTTGAAAATACTATAGCATTAATATTGTAGCACGGGTATACTGTAATAATTTAAAAAACACGGGATACTATAGCAATTCAAAAAAAATATTGCTTCAGCATTTAAAAACATTATTACTGTAGCATGAAAAAAAATTATCGCCCCGTGCTTTGCACGGACAGCACACTAGTGCTTTCTATGCTAAAATCTAGTTATAAACTGGTTATCAATCTATACTATTATAAAAAGAGAATTAGGGTATTAAAACCTTTAATTTTTTTCCCTCTTAAATTTTGATAAAGTCTAATTATATCATTATCTCTAATTAATCTTTCATTAAATAAATATAACCTCTTATTAATTATGTATCTTCTCACCTTCCTAAATAATTATAATAATTAATAATATTATGAATATTAACTATTTAAAATAGTATAATAAATAATTTATAAGATAAGTATATACAATTATTAGTAGTAACTAATTAAATTATTATTATAATTATTTATAATTTATAATAAAATAATTAGAATAATAGCCTAAATGGAATAATATATTACTAAAATACTATTAAGAAATATACTATAATTCAGTGAGCAATAAAACAAATAGAGTAAATATTTATTAGCATAATTGGTGTAATCATTTTAATAATATCATATAAATTATGAATTACACAATTTATTTAGTATTATATGAATAAATAAATGAAATAAATAATTTAATATTATTTTTAGAGTATATTCTCAAAGATTATCGCATGATGTTGAATAATCTATACTTGATAATGATTGAAAATTAACCTTTTTACAAAAAAAATATATTTAATATTAATAATAGTACTATTGTTAATGATTGTATAATAAAAATTTATAAAATATCTATGGTGCTAAATTATTTAAGACCATAATTAAAAATTAAATTAGATAAATATTTTATAGTATATAGATAGTGTACTTATTTTAATAGTATTACTTGAACTAATAATTATAATATTAAATAAAGTAGCATTTTGCAGTAACTAGACCCTATCAACTTTCGAAATCACGCTAAACCCCTAATAACTTTTGTAGAAAGCCTCTAGTATATTTTAGATAAATTGCACCAAACCCCCAATAACTTCTAAAATGCATT